CTAATACGTCTTGCTCGTCTTGTTTTGTGAAGTTTCAGAATATAAACCTGCAATTTGAAGATGCGAAACCTTGATTGAAACAACTTGTCAAGAAGCCTTCGATTTGGCAACACGATCTGTTTTCGATTTTGGGTTGTGGGTTTGTGAGAGTTGATTTCCAGACCGTAATTCCTTACGGGAGAGGGAAGAGAGAGGGAGAGAGTTGAGAAATGCGTTTCTCGTGTTTTGACAAATTCCCCTATTTTCTTGTTAGTTTTTCCAAAATGACGTTTTAATCGTTTTCCCTTTTTAGTTGTTTTTTTTTTTTCATTTTCAAAAACGTATTTTCGAAAATAAGAAAGAGAACGCATTTTCACTTTTTTTGGAAAATTAAAAACAGAAAACGACTTGAAAACAATAAAGAGAACATACCCTTATTTTTCTAGTCAAATGTTGTCGTAGCTGTCATGTTAATCTCATTTTCAAATCCAATTTAGAAAAAGGTAGTGCTACCTGGACACTTTTGCTGCACGAAATTGGGACTATAATTTGGAAGAAACACACGTTAGATGAGAAACACGCTTGAGATGTTTATTTTGTACTGTTTAAATTCTTTACTGTTCAATATATCAAATATATTTCAAAATTATGTAGCACAATGGAATTGTGTCGCATGCAATTATGACGAGTTGATGTAACGAGTCATTACAGTATTTATTGGTACATTATCATGACAGGTGATATTGTACCCAAATACTTGGACAAAAGCATTCTTACACCATGTTTGATACCAATTTTTTTAAAATACAATTTTCTCTCTTATTTTTAATTACACATTCTTCAATAAAATAATATTTTTCATCACATCAATAATTTTTCCTTCTTTTTCAACCACATATTGTTTTTGAAATTTGTGGTTGAAAAGATGTGAGACCCATAAAGATATGGTTATTATTAANAACACTATTTAAAATGCATTTTTGAAAGAATAATATGACTCAAACAGGGTGTTAATAATAATTTTGATAATTCTCTCCGTACTCTAAAAAAGAAAGGGAAAAAAAGATGTAGAAGATGTTTATCTTATACTCAATGTACCAAAGAACTCTACAAAGTCATTAAAATAAGTGTAGATGTTCCACTAGTATGTGACATGTTACTTGACAAATTATAATATATATTTTTTTCCTTCTAATCAAGTCATTTTGTCGAATTTCCTTACTTTACTAGACATGAAATTTGGATTAACACAAATTATTAATCAATAATTCAATCTATTATTATTATTATTA